CATCTATCTATCTATCTATCATCTATCTATCTATCTATCTATCTATCTATCTATCTATCTGTGTGTGTATATATATATATGTATGTATATATATATATACACACACATACATATGCACATATATATATATATACACACACACACTTGCCTGCACATATTTAGGTTGTCAAGCCATCTTGAGCCACCATCTCGAGTCAGATAGTGTGTGGGCTTGCTGTTGTTTTCATGTTGGGGGCGTGTTCACCTTTGCAGTTTTTTGGGTCTTCCTCGATCTCACTTCATCGACCTTCGAGGCTTTGATGAGGCTCCGTTGAAAGTCGCCATGATGCCCTCAAAATATCCGATATTCCAGATCTTCACCCCGAGCCTAGCCGTATTCTCCAGCCCTATAGACCCTGAAACCCCGAGTCCCAACACCCAAGCATAAACCCTAAACTAGCCACACAGTGGGGGCTTGCATTGTTTTACGGAGGACTGGGAAATTAACAGAAGTACTATGCTAAAGTAGACTTTGTTTAGTGCTCTCGTTTCTCATGGTGCTCATTCTGCTAGACGCAGGGAGTAGCCTTCGAAAATGCCGTCCAAGAGTTGACCGGCAGCGCATAGCCGAAGTGAAGCTTGAATGAGGAAGCGAGCACATCTCGCAGGGCTTGGCAAGTTCTACTTAAGGGCTGCGAGGCTGATCGCTCGTTGCGATAAATTCATAGGGTACAGTCGTCAATTCGGCTCTTCCTGGATTGCGGAAAAGCATTTGCGTGCGAACGTTGCCAGGATACAGCATGCGCGCGCCAAGGAGTATGCACCTTCGCACACCCCGCCGCATGCTCGAAAGGCTACGTATGAGACAAGCGGGGATTCCCGCATTTGAGCACGCGAAGTCCTTGCAGCTCAAGGTACAGCGATCAGGAAGGCCTTGCAACCCTGCTGGAGAATGCTCAGGGCACTGCCGTCTGGACTTGGATACCTTCTCCAAGGAAGCTCCCACTGGTGTCTCTGCCTTTGAAGAGCATGTCATATGCACAGCAGAGCCTTTGGCAGGCGTGGATGCGATGCTGCGGGTAAAGCAGTTTCGCTCAGGGCGTTAGACGCTTGGACCCTGAGACCCTTTGACCTCAGACCGATCATCCAAGGATTCGCCGGTTGCGAAAGACCCTCGCAGCTCCGGCGAGGCATCCGGAGATGTCTTAAGGGTTTAGGGTTAAGGTCTCCAAAATTAATGTTTGAGTTTGATACGCATCTAGTTTGGGTTTTGGAGGGTTCTTACAATTTCGGGATGCCCATCTGAGGGGTCCTGATAAAGGCGCTTCTTTCCTGTGGCACACGGAATAGATTCTTCGGGCCCAGGTACAAACTAATTGAAGAGTCTTGGAGTTTCAGAATTTAGGATGTAGGCTGGAGGGTTTCAGACTTTGAGGCTTGATGGTGTTAGGGTAGGGGTTTGAGATGTGTTGGGAACGTTGCTTCGCATCTACTTCCTGAGCATGAAGCCCATGACCCTACTGTCAAGAGCTGTTGTGCTGCTCGGTGGCTCTATCGCACCTATTCCATATCCTCCTGTGGTTACCCTTAACCCTAAACACGAAACCCTAAACCGTGGCAGTGGAGACTTTGCATTTCTCCCTGAGCCCATCAACCACTCAACCGGCCCCTTCTGAGACAATTCCTTCGACCTGCCTAGTCATCGGTCTTCCAGGAAACCCCCCATATCCTAGGACGTGTGATAAAATCGAAAGCCCTAAGCCCGAAGCCCTACACTACACCCTAAACCTGAAACCCGAACTGAAGCTTTAATAGCCCCCGAAAGCCTTAAACTAGAGGTGGTTGCCCATGTTTGCCCCCTTTAAAGCCTTAACTCGAGGTGGTTGCAGGTGCAGATGATACGGACCTGGAAGCACATCTGCGGATTGGCTGATGCTCCAACATGTCAAGGTGTAGTCGATACGGCTTTGGTTAGGGTTTAAGGTTTAGGCGTCAGGGTGGTTAGGTCAGGTTGTGGGTTGTTACGTTTGTGAGTAAGGCTGTTTCAATTTAGGCTTTGTTCTTTTTGGGTTGAACGCCCCGGCGTCAAGATTTCTGGCGCAGGGCTTTCCGACTGTTCAAGTCGCCTGGTTTTCTTTACATGCATAAGTCTGTAACAGTTCTAGAATACCGTAAGAAACTTGAGAAACCGTGTCAATCCCTAGCAACTTGAGTAAATACTCCTGCACTCTCCGCAAGCGCCCTCATGCCAGGACGGCTCACGTCGAGGAGACTCGGCGGAAGGCCGAAAGCTTGGCGTGCCTCCGCTTAGGACCCCTCTACCCTAAACCCTAATCCTCTCTCCAAAGGGAATAGTCTATAAAGGAGGACCTCATGGAAGGCTCCCCGTCGGGTCAGGTGGGGCAAGTTTAGCTATGGATCGTACCCACCCACATACTCATACTATAGAAGCCTAAATAATATATTTACCAATTCTATTCCTTAGGGTTCCTTATTATAGTTCTGCTATAGTAGTATCACAAAACCCTATTCTACTTCTTAAGGCCCTTTCCTTACCTAGGTTCTACGGTCAAGAAGGTTTCAGGCTCAGCGGATGAAGGGGCTCCCAAAGAGCCCCATAGTAGTTCCTTGTTTTGAACTACTATGGGGCCTATGGGTAAACCCTACGAAATCCTTAAACCTTGTAATAATTCCGAGCTTCCTGCCAGACCAGCTCGCACCGGCGAGTGCGACGCGAGACGCGCGAGGCTTCCGCCATGGAGAAGAGGGGATTTGCTGTTTGGGTTGAGGGCCTATGAGTTTAGAGGCTTTTAAGCTTAGAGATGTAGGTTTTGGAGCGTGAATCCTAAGCCCTATAGTGTCATGGTTTCTTTTGACTCCATTTCCTCTGTGCTTCCGCCACTTGGTGTGACTGGGGGATTGGCGTAAGGTGTATTGAATGGCGTATTGGGTTTGGTAGGATGCGAGGTTTCTGGAGGGGTTCTCTCTGTCATGAGTGACACTCACGGTGCTTTTCATTTGCCGTGATTGGTGTTGTTCTGGACGATGCCAATTTTTCTTCCGCATTTGAACGAGGCTGGAGGCATCATTCGCGTTAAGTGTGAGATGATGCACTCCGTTCACTTGGCGCGGGTGCCTCACACTTTGGATGATGAGCTTCGCGGAAGACGGCGTCAGGCTTTGGCGAGAGAGTGGGATTGCACGCAGTTCCTGGCCGCCCAGACTCCGTTATACGACTCTTTGGTGCGGTCCATGCTTCGGTGCAGGCGGATTTATGTCTCACAGGTCGTATACAAACATCCGGCTGACCATCAACATGAGATGGCGCATTTCGTGCGCGACCTTTTTGAGCATTTCGTATGAGTTCATTTCGGAGAGATCACTTTTATCGGAGGCGACAGTCACAGACACAGACGATCTCCTCGTCGTCCCGTGCACTCATTGGAGCCCATGACTTGTCCTGAGGACGAGGTTCGATACTGTCGTCGCAGTCGAGGGTGTGCGAGCGGCCGGCAAACATTGTAGACATACGGCTCGTGGCCGTGATTGTTCCGTCGCAAAGAAGTGGTGCGATGCTCTCCATCGACAGCGCCTATCCCCCTAACATTGGGTTTCGGGTTTCAGAACTTGTGTCTCGATGCTCTGATTGGTTTAGGCTTCATTGCCCCCTAAGGCTATTGTAGATGGGTCCAAGCACTCTTTAGGGTTTGCTATAGGGTTACTAACTATGTGGGTTATTTCTATTTCGATAGGAGGTCATCGGGTCCTGCCCCTGTTTACGCTTATATACGGACTAGTTGGAGCCTTAGGGTATCAGACTGTAGACCTTTACAATGAAAACGAGCTTGGTTCAAGTTCCGGGGTTAAGGTGCAACCTTGAATCGCCTTGAGTGTTGCTGTTCGGGCTCAACGTTTGTGTTTTCGTCTCCGAAGACGGGTTCAGTCGTGTTTTTTGAGAAGGGTTGGGGGTTCCTTGTGCTGAAGGCGACATTCTAATCCAGGGTTAAAGCCGCTAGACCCCGAACCAAGCCATAAGGGGTAATATAGGGGCCTTAATAAGTACCTATACTATTTTGGGGGGGTCCTTATTCTAATTATAGTACAACATACCCCCAAACCCTATTCTAATTGTTAAGGCCCCTACACTGTACATGAAGGCTTTTAGGGTATCCATGGTCAGGTTTTCAGCTTCATATTTTGCAGCGTCAGTGCCCTGTGTCCTCGGATGACCGCACCCGCAGCAATCCCCTTCCAGTACCAATAATACAGGGGCCTCTATTATAATTAGAATAGGGTTTGGGGTATCTTATACTATAATGTTAACAAGGAGCCCCCAAAACCCTATTCTAATTATTACGGCCCCTACATTACGCAGGCGCTACTTTGACAGCACGGAAATCTGCAAAGTGGCGTCAGCTCAATATCCTTCCTTCAACCTTGGGAATGCCGCCTGACCGTAGACCCCAATCCACAAATCCTAAACGTCCTAAATCCCTAAGTTCCCCCAAATTCTGTAGAAATCTCCGAAAACCTGCAAAATCTACCTGCCGAACCCTTCAAAGCCAAAAACCCAAACCCCGTTACCTGCCCTTACATTGTTGTTGAAAAATTAGCAGTAATGTCCCCTTTTACGGGTACAATATACCCCAATTTTTTATGGGTAAGGCCCCTGCATGAAACCCTATGTGTATATATATATATATATATATCTCTCTCTCTCTCTCTCTCCAGCTTTATAACCCACGCAAAACACTCATACCACGCTTAAGAAGCCACGCTCTAATTCTTCAGGCCCCTCTCTTCTTGCAAAGTTTCGAGCCGTTTGCACAGGCCACCGCTGAAGCTTTGCCGCGAACTGTGCGGCAAGGCTATCTCGACCGTCTCAGTTTCAAAGGGGGGTTAGAGTTTAGGTTTTTAGGGTTTTCCGGCTTAGCCTTTGAGCGATTTGGGGTGGATTGTATGGTCTCATTCACAATGAGGAATATTAGTAATATAAGGGCCTGAATAATCGGAACTGGATTTTCGGTGTGTGCTAGTAACATAAAAACGAGGACTATATGGGCAATCTAGGTTTTCCGACCCTAAAGAAGAGCTGTTTAGAGTGTCTTTTTAAATGAGCCTTCTTTCGGGTGTTTTCAACACTGGGTGCTTCTGGGCTCCGGCGCTGAGCAGGCTTGTAGAGGTTTTGCGATTTTTTTAGCTTGGTTGTAGGTTTTATGGTGCTAAAGTTTTCCATAGGTGTTTAAGGGGTTTGAAAGGGTTTTGTAAGGATTCTCAGGCTTTTCGGAGGGGGTTGCCGGAGTTTTAGGGCTTTGAGGGTTCTGAGGGCTTGAGTTTAATTACGATAGGGGCCTTGATATATACTATTGCATTATAACTCTAGTATCATGGGCCCCAAAACCCTATTCTAATTATTACGGCCCCTAGATTAGTGGTTTCGAGGGCTTTCGAGAGGGCTTGTCTAAAAAGGGACCCTAACTTAGAAAGCCACCCATATAGGTTTCTGGCTATTGGGTTTCAAGCCTTCTGGTTTTACGATTCAAGCTCCTGTGTTGATTTTAAGCCTTAAGGCTGCGAAGGTTTGGGTCCAGTTTGGGTTTGGGAGGCTCAGAGGCCTTCATAATTAGAATAGGGTCTTGGGGCCCATTATACTATAACTGTGAAAGGGAGCCCCCAAAACAGTATTGGTAATTCTTTAGGCCCCTACATTATGATTCTGTGGTTCCGGCGGCTATTACTGCTACACGCTCTCTAGGATGTCGGGATCCCTAGACCTTGAGGGTCAGGCCACACTGCACGTAGGGATACGGGTGATGGGTTAGGCGTCCGAAGCTTCAGCGGTTTGGAGGTTTTATATAGGGGGCCTTAATAATTAGAATAGGGTTTGGGGTATATTAGACCATAATTATAGCACCCTATTCTAGTTACTAAGGCCCCTACATTAGGGGGTTTGTGTTGTGGTCGAGGGCAGCAGCAGGTAGCAATACTTATTCCTACTCATGCAGCACACCCCAGGCACAAAGAATAAAAAGTAAACGCCCCCAGCTGCGCATCCTGAGCCCCTAGACTCTACACCCAACACCCTAATCCAAAAATGTTTCCCCAAGCCCAGCCGCAAAAAACGCACAGGCTCCGTGGCCTCCGCCGACAGAGAGGCCTGTGAGCGAGCTTCTACTGTTCGTTGCGGCTCATGTTTCTTAGAAAACTTTTACGTGCAGGTAACCTTTCTGTTCTCGGGCTGATCACCTACTGTTACTAGGCTAAAAGAATTGGCCGTTTGCAGGGACCCGGTGTCAGACTCGGATACTGGACATGCAAAATGCGGTAGTATCCTATGTCAGTTGTTTAGCGCTGATATAAGGATATTTCGTTTCGGGAGTTGTTCGGAGTGGAGTGGTTCGCCGACGTGATGTATACTCCCAGCAACTTGAAGTGTTTCTCCAACCAAACGAAGCCCGCAAGATCTTTGCCCCAAACACCTTCGGGTGATTCTGGCAAGCTACCCATTAGGCCCCATAGTAGTTCCTTTTTGGGATTACCTAAAAGGATCCTAAATACAAGCCACAAAAAAGGAACTACTGGTGGTTCTGGCAAGCAAGGGCCGCCGATTTGGAGCAGCTTCTCAGCGCAGCTTTCGTTTCTCAGTCGTCAAGTTAAACAGAAACCAGAAGGTATCAAGCGCAACGATATGGGGGTTTCCGAAAATTGGGGTACCTTATTTAGGGGTCCTTATAATAAGGATCCTATAACTTAGGGTACTATATTAGGGTTCCCTGTTTTCGGAAACTCCCATATGTAAGGCAATCAATATGGCAAGCCAAGCCACACGAATGCTGTTGAAAGGATCGCTGCACTGAACCAGATCCCGTCGGTGATATAAACCAGCAGCATTCACCAACTCAACCCCAACAAGCACTCACATACAAAACAAAGAACAACAGCACTTACTCTTGAAGATAGACACACCTAAGACGATAGGGTTCAAGGTTAAGGGTTTGAGGTTTCGTTATGCTTGTTGATGAAGCAGACCCTGCATCAGCACTGTAGAAGCAGCTTCCGCTCACATTGCATGGGTATCGCGTGATAAACGAACTCTGCTCATAATGCCAGGGAGAACTTCGGAAACTCTGAACCCCAAGCCCTAAAACGCTATCCCCAAGACCATGCAGTAGTAGCAAAGAAGTGTGTCTCCTCCCATGCAGCCGACAGACACCGGGAGCTCGGCTAAAGTCGGTAGAATGCGAGTTTTCGTACTTCCTAGGGTACGTACTGGTCCTTCGGAGTGTGTCCATGGTTTCTTGACTAAGACAAAGATAGAAATGCCCAGAATCAGAAAGAGACTGGAGGCCTTTGCGAAGCCAGAACCACACATCCATAACACTGCAGAGGGCTAAGACTACTACTGGTAGTGCTGACAACGGTATAAATGCTGTGAAAAATTTACGTAGTACTATAATATTGTAGACTACTGCATAGCAAACGCTAGAACCCTAAACCTATTGTATCACAATTACATACTCTTTTCGGGGCTTGGAGAGTTTGCAGTGCCTTCTGGAAGGAGCCCCAGGGTTCACGCCTTGTAGGGCTCGAGACGGAAAAACGGAGTCACAAGTGACAGGTGTTGAGGGCTCTTTACGTCGAACTGATTATATAAGATATTGTGATATCATGTCATACCATCTCATATCATATACTGCTACATGAAATGTTATAGCATTATACCTAAAAGGGACCCTAATTCAGAGAACTACCCATGTACAACTCTGAAACCACCCTTTTAGAAAGCCTTCTTATCACCTATAAAACCAATTGAGGAACCCTAATTTAGAGAACTACCAATCTAGAATCCTTATAGTACCCTGAAAGAAACCGTATAGAAGCCCTTCTAGATCCCTTATACATCCCTTAAGGGACTCTAAAAGGGACCCTCATTTTGAGAACTACACATATAATCGCGCATGTCTTCCTCATGGCCAGGTATTGACGCGCACTGCGAGCCTCCACGAGGATGTGAGGCCGATGATGGGAAGTATCTTGGGTTTAGGCTTCAGTCGCTTAAGGGATTAAGATTTAGGGGCTTAGGGTTTAGGGTTTCTTGTTCAGGGTAGGCGGCTTTTGTACATGGGGGTGTACCGGTTGTTGTTGATTTTCCTGCAAAGCCTTTTCGGGGTTCAGGGCTTCCGTGGAGGTGGCCTGTTTGCAGGAATTTGAGGGGCTCCTTTCAAAGTGAAGTGCCGTATATACCACATAAGTACAGGCTTCTGCAAGCCACCACTCAAAAGGATATTGCCTTCAAGAGTTTGTGTTCGGGAGCATTTTTGAGTTCAGGGGCACTTCCCCTCGACATCTCCATGGAAAACAAGAACAAATTCCCAGCCCAGGGGCTTGATCTAGGTGTATGTAGCCTTGCATTAAGAAGGATTTAGGGCTTAGGGCGTAGTGTCTAGGGGTTTACAGGTTAAGGGTTTACAAGCAAGTCAACGTATGCCTAGGGTCTGTTGGGGGGAGGGCACCCCTTGTCATCTTAGACTCCCCTGGGACCCCGTTGGAGGCATTCCATTGGCTAAGATGTAAGTAAGAAACCGTTGTTAAGAAGCATTGAGGGCTTCCCTTGGCTAAGATGTAAGAAACCCTAAACCCTAAACCCTAACTGGGCCTAACTTGATCTCCTAAGCCGATTCTGCGGCTTCGCACCTCTCCCCCTCACTGCTTTGAGTTTGGCAGCTCTGCATCCGAGCTCTGAGTAGTAGGGCCCTCATGCGGAAGCTGTAGAGCCGTAGAGGGCGCGGCAGGATTTATCAAAGTGCTGCAAGTCTCTGGACGGAGAGTTTGAATAGGTCTTATGCACATCTTCCTTCACCATCGCAACAGATAACTATGCCTGCATGCCTAGAGTCGAAGAGGGTAGAGTTGAGTGAGGCCACGAAGCATCACATTATCTTCTCCGGAGTTAGGCTCCGCCACATCTCTGGATCCCTGCTCGGAAGCGGCTTACGTATCAGGGAGCAGCTGAAATCTCAAGTGCTTCGAGTTCGTGGTGAAATGAGGGTTTAGGGTTTAGGGGTTTAGGGCTTAGAGTTTACTGCTTCGTGCTTGTAAACAGCTCCATCCAGGCAGTTCATCGAACCTCTTAATTCCTCAAGATGCAGAACTCCAATTCCCAACGACCAACATTTCTAAAACTTTAAGAATCTACAACGCTTTTTGTAGCCCCCAAAGTCCCTAAACCCTGATCCCGAAACCCTAAGCCCGAAACCCTAAAACCTAGACTTTTAAACCCAAACCCTGACCCCTAAGCCTTAAGCCTTTTGTAAACCCTAAACCCCAAGCCCCAAACCCTTTCCATGTAAGCCTGCCTCTAGGCGGCCTGTTGAGCAAGAGGACTTCGGGAGTCGCCTGAAACCATACTAAAAAGCCCATTAGGGCTTAGGCCCAGGCCTTTCAGGTTTTAGGGTTTTCAGGTGTGGGTTTCGGGTTTAGGGTTTTAAGGTTTAAGATTTCGGGTTTAGGGTTTTAAGGTTTAGGGTTTCGCGTTTAGGGCTTTAAGGTTTAGGGTTTCGCGTTTAGGGTTTGGGGTTCAGGTTTGGGTCTGGGGTGTATGATAAAGTCCGCAACAAAGGGGGCTTGCACGAACCCTCGTGCATGACATGCGAAGGCCTAATGTAGAGGCTTTAGTACATACCAATACTATTTTGGGGGGGTTCCTTAACGCAGCGGATTTTAAGTTCAGTTCAGGGGTTTCGAGAGACCTGCCCCTGGTTGTGTGCGGTTTGGGAGAATTGAATTTCCTAAACCCTAAACCTGGACCGTAGGGTGTCGGGCAGCAAGTTCTAGATGCTACGACGCAAGTTAGTCGAGTGAAATCTTGTACTTTGAGCATCAGCATGCTCACATACGGTCGTTTTGTCAACACGGCACTGTTGAACAGTTCCATGCTGTCGGTTGTGGCCCGAGTCAGGGGATATCTGGATAAAACCCGTGACGGATACTCGGAGAATGGGTCTGCAAACAGTTTATGAACATGCTGCAGACAGGCCCACACCAAATACAAGTTTTACCCCAGACAACCAAGAGCACTACCGGGAAATCCTCGCAAGAGCGTTAAGCCAAAAGACAGCAGATAAGCCCTATCTTCAGGAATCGAAACCTGAAGCACTAGAACTTTGTGGCTTGAATCCAGGTGCTTCACAAGACCTTACGCATCCGAAATTGAACGCGAAATCCCAGGAAAGGGCCCCAAACAAATCCGAAATTTCTGAAACCGCAACCTTAAGCGAGCAACTCAAAAATTTCGGGGACCAAGATTCCGACAATGTACCCAGAGATTCCCGAACGGACAAAGAATAAGTTATAGCGGGATATAGGATATTATATGACTTGACGTATTATGCATATCCCCGTTACCTGGTTTATAACCGACAAACCCGTTTCCTTTTAAGGGCCTTCATAATAGGAATCCTCATCATACAGTTATGATAACCCCGCCCTTGGACAGTAACTTCTAGAATCCGAGGTCTGCCTTCCTGTTTCCCCACATTATTGGAGCCTCTGGGTGCTACAGTCGCCTCTTTTATGCTCCAAACAGGCCTTTTCTTTTCAACCCCTTAGAAAAACCTGTCAAAGTATTTCTGAAACTTCTATCTAAACTCTTCAAGGTCCTTGGAAAAGCAGTGTTAGTCAAAGTCTTTCAAAGTGCAAAATCCATTACAGGTCGTTCTGAAAGCCTTCTTCCAAGCCTTTTGTTGAACCCTAAACGCCTGAAGCCCTTAAACCCTGAATCCTCCTCTTCAAGCCCCTTTTTTAACCCCAAACCCAAACCCTCCTATTCAAGCTTTTTAAGCCCTAAACCCTAAGCCCTAAACCTTAAACCCAAAACCCTAAACCCAAAACCCTAAACCCTAAACCCTAAACCCTAAACCTAAAACCCTCTTTTGCAAGCACAGCAACGAGGACCTGCAGGAGGCTCCCGCTGGCCGAGACCTTGGTCAGTTGTCGGGGGGGGGGGGTGTTCTAATAGGGTTTATGGGTTTAGGGGTTTATGGGTTTAGGGGTTTATGGGTTTAGGGCTTATGGGTTTAGGGGTTTAGGGTTTAGGGGTTTAGGTGTTTTTGGTGTTTTGGGGCTCGCGTTTAGAGTGTGAGGCTTTAGGGCTTGAGGGGGTTGGGGTTAGTTCGTTTTCAGGGGTCCTTAAGAATCAGCTGTCATGTTATGGCTTTCCGTTGCATCCTCTCACACGTCACCGCACCTTACTATCTTGGCGTGAGCATGTGTGAGGAAGAACAGTGATTATCATCATCATTATTATTGTTATTATTATTGTTATGATTATTATTGTTAATATTATTATTGTTATTGTTATTATTATGATTGTTTTTATTATAATTCAGGTGCCACTACACTGTTCTCTGTATGCGGGAGGACATGCCGACTCATCGGCGGCTTTTCCTTAGTGGCTATGCTACCCTGAGCCAGCAACTCCGTGTTATAGGACCTGTGGCTTCGGGATACGCACACCCATGGATGATATAGAAGCCTAAACAATTACCAACATTATTCCTTAGGGCTCCGTAATATGACTGTAAAGGAGCCCAGAACCTTATTCGAATTATTAAGGCCACTACATTATAAGCGCTACGTGGACCCTTTAGGGCTGCATCTTCCGTAGCAAAGGAGCCGACATCCTGCTAACCAGCTATAACCACAAGTAGAGGTCGTACTAGCACTTGAAACTTTAAGGGATGGCGGTACCTCTGGCTATTGTGGGGTTTATTTAGGGTTTTGGTTTAGGGTTTAGGGTTTTCCCTCGGTGAGGTGCTAGCTTAGCTTCCACGACGGCCTCAAGCATCACCTATGAGAAAGGCTTTCTTGAAGTCTTTAGGCGCTTGCTTAACTCCTAGGTAGTATTAGGGAGACTCGTTCAAGGCGACCATGCTTAAGCCTACTTATGGCTGTCTTAAAATGGACCTTATTGAGAGGGTCTATATCCCCAAGCGTCCCCCTGGATCCTAACTCCCATTAACCAAGCTACTACTCATGCACCTGGCAGCCTTCTTATTGTGGCAACTTGTTACATTGTTCAACCTTCAGCATGATGGACTTGGTGGAACCTACAGAGCTGCACATCTGTATTCAAAAGGCCCAAATACCGCGAACGAGCAAGTCGAAAGCCCCAAAGACCCAACCATAAGGTATAACCCTAAACCCTAAACCCTAAACCCTAAACCGTATACATCAACAGTTCTACGAAAGCCTCAAACCCGAAACCCTAGAACCCTAAAGCCCTCTAGCCCCATCAAAACCCACAAAGGAAGCTTCAGAGGAGCCCCTAAAGGAATCCTCAAAGGACCCTAAAACCCTAGCGCCGGTTTGGGGGTTCAGGGTTTAGAAAACTGTAGACCCTAAATGCTAAACCCTAAATCCTAAACCTGAAACCCTAAAGCCTAAAGCCCTAAACTCTTAAACCCTAAACCCTAACTAAAGCCTAAAGCCCTAAACCCGAAAGCCCAAAGCCTAAAGCCCTAAACCCTAAAGCCCAAAGCCATAAATCCTAAAACCCTAAACCCTAAAGCCTAAAGCTCCAAAGCCCTAAACCCGAAACCCGAAAAGCCCGAGCCTAAAGCCCTAAACCCTGAATCCTAAAGCCCCAAAGCCCTAAACCCCAAACCCTAAGCCCTAAACCCTAAAGCCTAAAGCCTAAAGCTTCACCTAAAGCCCTAAAGCCCTAAAGCCCTAAAGCCTGAAGCCTGACGCCTGAAGCCTGAAGCCCTAAGCCATGACACCACCCAAGGCGAGGAGACCGAGTCTCCCACACTCGCTTGCAGGGCTTGTGGTAGACTCGAACACGGCTGGGACCCTCTGAGTTTAGGGCTTTAGGGTTTAGGGTTTAGGCAATTGCTTAGGGTTCCTTTCAGGGCTTCAGGTTTTAGCGCTTTAGGGTTTAGGGGTTTAGGGCCATCACGGGTTTTCGCTTTAGTCTGGGGTGGGGTTCGGAGCTGCGTTTATGGGAGTTCCACAGGGCAGGGCTTCACAGGCTACAATCTCTCCAAATTCTCTAATATAGGGTCCTTAATAATTATAGGGTTTGGGGGCCATTATGCCATAATTATAGTAAGGAACCCCACCATAGTATTGGTAATTATTTAGGCCCCTAGAGAGAACTCCTGATGCCAGGCCAGTGGACGCCGAAATGGGGGAGCCGGAGATGTAAGCGCTGCGCGTTTTGCTGGGCCAGGGTGAGTCATCTCTAATATGGGAGCCTTAAAACATTACCTATACTATTTTGGGGGTTCCTTATTATAAGTATAGCACAGTGGGCCCCAAAACTCTCTGCTAATTTTTAAGGCCCCTGTATTAGGCCAAAAAGGTTTCCGGGTGCACAGGGTTCAGGGTTGAAGGAGTTTGGGGTTCAGGGGTTACGTTCTCGAGTCTTGCGTAAAGTCCATGACTCAACTTTTTGCAGAGTCCCAAGTCCCAATGAAGCACTGAATTGCTCCTTCAGCCCAAAACCAGAAGGGTTTAAGGCTCTCCGTGCTCGGTTCGGGGTCGTCTACCCCACCCCACCCTCCAATGATATCCCAACCCTGTGAGAGGGTCCCAGTCTCCTACATTCGGGCGCGGCTCACGACAATCTACGGGTAGTGTACAGTTTTGTCCAGAGCGGAGATGCCTGATGCCGTGGCAGATGTGGGTTGGTGGCAGAGATCAGCCAGATCTACAGATGCAAAAGCGTGCGACTGCGAAGGCTCTCAAGGCAGCGACGCGCCGAGTGAAACGGATCAAGCAAGCGCTCAATCGGTTGACCCCTCAAGATCTTCAAGAGATGATTCAGCTTTCAGTGCATAGCCCAGCTCCGAAAGCCTCGGCAACAGCAAGGGCGAGAGCATCAGCATGAGCAGTTTGGCAAAGGCGGGAGGCGAGTGTTGTCGGATTCAGGATTCAGCTTCGGAGTTCAGGGCTTGACGCAGCCCTGGTTCGTCTTTTTGGATACTGGTTCCGCACCAGTGACTCTGCTGTTAGGGTGATTTGGAGAGAGTATAATTTCCGATTAAGATTTCGCTGTGGGAGCAGGATTGGGCAGAATTGGCATTCGAACATGGTCTGCAACTTTATCTGGACTTGGCCCGGAAACAGAAGCAGTGCGGTGATTCAGCATGAATCGTGGAGGAACAGTGAAGGAGCCAACATTGAAGCCCTGTTGCAACCTCGACTCCAGCCCGAAGAAGCGTTTCCTGATCGCCGAGCTCCCAATCTCTTAAGCCAGAAGCGGTCGCAGTGGGAATTGTTTCGGGATACAGGCTGGATGTCGACTAGGACTTACGGCTTATTAGGGTTCGAGGTGCACCGATGCTGGTGCTTTAGAAGGGATGTTGAGAAGTCAGCGAACGGGGATTTTGGATAGGTTGCACCTCGCAGTTCGTGCAAGCCACTGCAGAAGACAGCTTCCTGATTTAGATTACAAATTGCAACGGATCTCAATATTAAGCCCCGTAGAGCAAGGCGGTTAATGTTCAGGGCATTTAGTTCCAATTACTCGCCCGAAAATACAGGTGTTGGGTCTGCGGGGGTTGGGTGATCGGGAAAGCGGTCTTAAGACATGGTCTACTCGGGTTCTTTATCATCGTGAACTAGCTAAAGTCGGACCTGTTCGAATTTTTCAGACCCCATGTTAGGTTGTTGTTGGTGTTGAATTTCAGGCTTAGCGTCGCATTAGTTTCGCGCTTACCGGTTCGGGGCTGAGGCTAGCTTCAATCAAGGTTCAGGGTTAGTAGGAACATCATGAAGTCAACGCAGCCAGGAGGGAGGGCGAGGAGGAGGAAGCCTACCATGAAGGCCATGAGTCAGATTGCTGCAAAGCACACACCCAAACTCTTGCCGCCATCGGCCCTAAGCTGTAAATCCCTGAACCCTAAGCTTCAACCCTAAGCCCCCCATCCCCACAAGATTCCTGTATGACGTCAGCTCCCAAGGCCCCAAGGCCTTCCCCGACATTCCACACGTCCTTGAATAGAAGGAAAATGACTGAAGCCGAAGGTTTGGGGCTTGGGAATCCTGCAGGCAACATAACGATCCCCCATACATGTAAAATATACTAAGGGGTCTTTTGCTTGTCGAAGGGATGTTGAGATCTTTGCGCTCCGATTTTTTCGTGATGCTGTTAGCCGAAAATCCCCAAACTTCTCAGACTCAGCACGATACAAACTCGACATGTCCAAGTCTAATGATGTATCGAACCTCTGAGCATCCAGGTGGTTGAGAGAATTACTGGTCCCTTGCTGCTTGTGTTTAGATTTGATGTTGACGCCACGGTTTTTCTGTGTTTCGGACGTTCTTATTTGTTCAATTTTTGCTAGACTTCTGACTGAATTTCTACCGAACATGTGCTTCAGGGAGCGACCGGCCCACCTGAAACCCTGGCCCTAAACCACTGGGAGCCCTCGACATTTCAAGTTTTGAAGACCAGGTCTCCGCCGGGTCTCGAGGTCCAAGCCTGGTCGCCCCCAAAGCCCCAAGCCCTCAGCCCCAGACCACCAAATCCACAAAGTTGTCAGACCCAAGTCCCTGAACCCGGGAGCCCTGGAAGCCTCAGACCTCCTCAACCTTATAAAGCTGGGGCATGAAAGCCCTCAGCCCTGAAGCCTTAAACCCGGAACTTTAAACCCCATGCACCCCATATCAGGGGACGAGGAGGAGGATGAGTTCCTCGCAGATTGGCAGGACATACAACGAGTTGTTCAGGATGTGGTGGGTTTAGGCTTCCTTAGCCGAAGCCCGTAACCCTGCACCGTAGCTCTGCACTCCTCTTCCCTCAACTAAACTGGGACCTTAACTAGGTTCCATGCAAGTTTGGAGTTGAAGGTGCTATGGTCACATGCAGTTCCCCTCATCTCTGTACTGAAAGCGGGATTCAGAGGTCGGGGGTTTCAGGCTGCCTAAAGCCCGAGAGCGTAGCAACCCTATTCAGCAGGATTCCCCTATATCACTACAGTATAAGACTCCCCCAAGCCTCCACAATGAGCCCCATAAACCCCGCGAAACCCCTTATCACACAAAAGAACCCTGTATCATCCTATAAAGCTTACAACCAAACATAAGAAGCAGTAAAAAGCTCTTTCAATGCTTGCAAACACTTGTAAACCCCATAAACCCCTCTCACCCTAGCCCCAAATCGTAAACCCTGAAGCCCTGAACCCAAAACCCCCGACGACGCCTTTTTCAAAAGCCACTACGGGAGCCCAAACCCTAAACCGTCTACACACTTTGCAGAGTCTCCTCAAAGCCGCAACCCCACATGCTCGACCCCTGAACCCAGATCATCAAACCGCGAAGCCTTCAAAGCAATCTTAACACCTAGACCCTGAAGCCCTTGCTTTGCCCATTTTAGGGTGTGCGTCCCAACCGAAACCTTCAAGGAGCCGTAAAGGGAGCCCTGGAGCCTTCCAAGGAATCCTGACAGGAATGCCTGGTTACTAAAAGAAATCCCTAATGGAACCCTGAAACGGAATTCTTTAAAGGAATCCTAGAAGGTAACCCTTAAAGAAGCCCAAAGGAATTCTTTAAAAGAATCCCAGAAGGTAGCTCTTAAAGGAACCCTAAAAGGGAAGTCTTTAAAGGAACCCTAAAGGGGACCCTTA